TCGAAACTAAACAAAACGGCTAATGACTAAAGGCTTCATAACAGATTTGTGATGAATACCACTGATGTGCACACATGCTGATCAGTTAAGGGAATATACTGTAAATACTGGTGAATGAGGATCCAAACAGTGGCGCCTTCCAAACCTTGGCACTCGTGCTAGTTTACAGTTAAACTAACGGTAGGGTTTGCCAAATTCCAGAGTAGACTTTTAATAGTGCCGATGAAACGAAATGAAGTGAGACACAGAGGCTAATTGAGAGATGACATGCTGTTATGGTGTGGCATCAGGTTCTCTTTATGGGGTTTATCCTGCTTGAGAATTGGGCTACAAACATGATGACAGCAGGGAGTTGAAACTGCATCTGATCCTAGCCCAAGGATTACTGAGTATGTGTGTGTGTGTGTGTGTGTGTGTCGGAAGAAAACAAACGAACATGCATGCATTCTGAGTAGGTGTGCGTTACATGGTGCATTTTTCTTAAAATACTTCAGCACACACTTCTAAATCCCTACACACGTGAGATATAAGTGAGTGTTTCCAAGTCCCAGCGTGCCTCCTCTGTTTGTCTCAAAAAAAAGCTCAAGGCCAGTTGCCCATGACTGTTGCTGTTCCACATTCCCTCCTGACCTTTCTCTACCCCAACACAACCCTCCCCCTCTCGTCATCCTGCCACTCGCTGCCCACCCTTGAGGTGTCAAAACCCCTGGTGGAGCTTTTTCCTCTTCTCTGAGAACCAACAGGCAAAGCACCATCCAGAGGCCATCCAGACATCGCTGTCTCCTCTTTCCTGTCATCTCCTCAAGAGGCACATTCTCCAGCAGCATTAGTCTCGTAAAGATAAATATGACAGAGGGATGTGGTGAAGAGATGGCCAAGAATGGAAAGAGGAGAGGAGAAAGATGAGGATAAAACGAGGGGGGAAGGAGGGCGGTCATGAGCTGCGGTAAAAAGAATGACAGGGATTGGAGAGCGTGAGGAAAAATGGAAGAATATGGGATGAGGGGATGAGAGGTGGTCAGCGAGGTCAAGAAGAAGTGGAGACATAAATTACAAAGAAAGGCTGGACTCATGTCAGAAAGAAATGGCCTTTCTGGGAAAAGGGAGCGATTTTCCAACCACTTATGTTCTGTCACTTTGTTTATTTTTTATTTTTCTTCTTCATCTTTTATTCTGAAAACAAGTGTTGTCAGCAAATGGCATTGTGACTAGCACACTCGGTGAATCTGTCTTGAAAATAGAGCCATCCCAAAAGAAACAAAACATGAATATACTGTATATAACCAAGGACAAGCTAGAACTGTGTCCTTTTTTTCTAGTAACAAACAAGCCTGCTGGGAAGTATAAATCTACACACAAGGAGAGAGAATGGAAGAATGAAGGAGGAGGAGAGTGTGCTGTCCTTCGCTCCATTTAGGGTCTTTGTCTCTCTTGAGGGGCTACAATCCAACTTATTTCCATAACCCCTGCTAGATAACCTGGTCTGCATGCGCAAACACACCCGATTAATAGTACCTCTATGACACAACTTCACAGAGCTGAGGAATCCATCCTGAGGGCAGAACATCCTAAAGGGAGAGCAATATGGTGTGAAATGGAAGGGATTTACACCCTGGAGTATAAATACTGTACAGTGTTCATGTGTGAGTGTGAATATGCATCTCCTGGTCATGTGTTTCTGTTTGTCTGATGCTTTTAAGCTTATATTTAGTTAAGACAGGAACATTTCCTTAAATTCAATACACATACAGTGCAGTAGTGTGCAGTACGTATGAACTATTCAAGTACAGTAAATAGTAGTATGCAGTATACAAACTGTTTGGAACATAAAATATTTCACTCACAAAAGCTGGAAAGACTTTGTGAATGAAATGTGGCGTTGATCAACAATTTAAACTAATCCAGATTAAAAAAAAAAACAACAAGCTCTTCAAAGTGTTCCACAACACCTCTCATCCGCAGCATAATCCCAGAAGTGTTTTGACACTCGAAAGAACATCGAGAACTCAAGCAAACACAGATATCTGCGTCTGCAAATACTCACACCTCGTTTTTAAATAAACATCTACCTCACGTCACACATAAAAAGGCATGAATGCGGCAATAAATTTATACAACAGTTTGTTTTGCTTATTTCTCCAATAAACCCTTCACTGCTTCCTGTGAGTGTCACGTGACTGACAGTAAGAAGAGCAGAATATTGTGTACACAGCCATAACACTCGACTCTGGAACACAGAAATGAATGATGAGCCACTAACAAATTAAAGCCTTGTGGTTAAATTATCAGGGAGTTTTCAAGATCTGTGGACAATGTTTTTTTATACAGTTGAAATATCAAAGACCGTCTTCCTATAAATGACATAAATGGCATGATAATTATAAAAAAAAAAATAAAAAAAAAACACACATTACTTCTGATTCTCCCACACCTTTTTCTTTAAGGAGGAGAGGAGTGGATGCTAATCTCTTTGTTCAGGCACTCGTGCTGAGCCTCTCTCCCTGGCAGGGTTGCCGTGCTCTGTTCATCAGCATGGAGCCAGAGAAGCAAAGAAGCACTCTGCATTCCCTCTCTTATCTCTCTTCTCCACCGCTCTGCATTTTAAGGGTATCGCCTCACTCTCACCCTTCTGCCGAGCACAGGTGTATGCCGTCTCTCACACGTGGCTTGACTTGTTGCCCCTCCACTTTATGACAGGCGAGTGACCATGAAAACACAGGGTAAAAATACCTTGGAGGACATGTTCAGGGTGTATTGGTTTACTAGGAAGTCACGTGATGAACAAGCATCAACATTCCCCGTGATGACCAAAACACTGTTGACAAATGAGTAAGAGCAGAGCTGCAGAGTCACGGCCGAGAGAGAGGCCCCTTCGTGTACAACACACGACATATTTATGTTTCACTAAGTGTGACGTATCAGCTAAGAGTTACATAGGAGAGCAAAACACAGGTATAGTTTATGGATCTGGTTGCTAGTCAGCTAGCTAGTCATAAATCCATCATTTGAATGTTTTCTTAGTAGTTACAGTTAGTAGCTACAAGTTAGTTTCAAGCTAGTGATTTACTAAACTGGGTTGCACCATTTAAACTACAAAAAAATGCCTTACCTAGTAAAGACTTTAGTACTGTGTAAATTGGCAGCTAGTCATCCTCTGAAGCACCGTCCAATTAAAAGTTATCAACCATGTAAACAGGAAGTCACTGTAGCATCACATTTAAAAAAAAATAACAGTTTAAGGGGCCAAGATTTACCTGATAATCCTTTGTTAAAGTAGGTATAACCTTATTTGTATTGTGTCATATATGAATAAATGGAGAAATTCTGTGTTTCAGAATAACCAGAACGGTTGTAGTTAAGAGTGAGACCAACGTAATTTAGTCATTTAGCTTATTCTCATGTCATTTGTGTAACGTTTTGTAGTTATTATTTATATATTATATTATTATATATGTAGTATATTGCGTTTTTTAAGAAATCTTCCCAGTTTCCCATCAATATTAAACAACATTAATCAGATGTCAGCTCAGTCATGTCGAGCAGTTGCTGTAACTGGGCGAGGTGTAACTTCTTATGTATGTATTGAGTTTTCGAAAACTATTAGTTGGATGTTTTTGAGATGGTTTCCTTCTCAAGGTCGATGTGACATGACACCACACAGCATTACATAACACTATCAAAAAGGTCATGTATCCACTGTTAGCACATCTCCTATCCTTTCCCATCATTTGACTTTTCCTGTTCACCTTTTTCTCTCTACTTTCCACTCTCTTGAATATTTTTATTATCATCATTGTGTTTTTTTTATTTTTTTACCTTTTTTCTGTTCCTTTGTTATTCTCCTCCATGTCTCTCGCTACCTTTTTGTATTCCTGCTCCCTCACTCCATCTTCGTCTGCCTCTTTGCCCCCAGAGTCAACAGACATATAGTGGAGAGTGGGTTCAGAGTGCTTTGTGCGGTGAATACCTGGGACACCTGCATACTAAACAAGCCCAACCAGATTTTAATGAGGCAGCAGCAGCATTTCCACTAGGGCTGCTCTTCATTAGGGTTGATGTCAGATCACCAGAGAGGCTCTCCAGTGGTTCTCTCCTCTCATTGCTCTCTGATGCGGGGGGGTGGGGGGTGGGGGGTGGGGGGGGGCACAAAGTCCACCGCCAGTTTCCTCATCTAAATGGGCTTATCAGTGGAGTGGATGGGTGCTGGCCAAAATAAGCTTTCCAAGTTGTTTCTGACTGGTGTTATCCATTAAGAGGAAAGACAAAAAGGACCACTATAATAATTTTGGGGGCAGTGGGAGGGAACAGGGTGAGTATTGACAAAGCACAGTCTGGCAACATTAGTTCTCTTACAGTTAAGCTTAATGGGATCACTGTAAAGGCTGTAACGATGAGTGGAGCACCATAATGAAACCAGACTCTTTCTGTGAAATGAATACAAATGCCTTCATCAATCTTAAGAGCAACAACGGCTAGAAACAACAACAACAAGAGACAACAAAGAGCTTGTTGAAGTTATAATAAATAATAATGTGATACATTTTGATCACCACTTGGAAATGTGTTTATGTCTTAGCTCCTTCATAGGTCAGAAGTCAACACTAGTTACAGAGTAAGTGTCCAGCTCAAAGACCTTGCAGCAAGATTGATGTTAGATTACGCAAGAGGTTTGACTCCAGGATTACCAACAAAATATATTTTTAAAAAAATTAAAAAAAACGACCTAAAACACACAAATTGCTTGAGGTAAATAAGAAACTGTGAAATTACAGTTTTCCAGCAGGTGTTTTTCCTAAATACCAATAACAGCATCTGACTCAAAACTCCTACTGAAGTCAGGCTATAAAAACCATCCTTCCATCCAAACCTCCCCTTAGTTCAACACTTCCACAGCAGAGGACAACGGATCAAGCATTCAACCATGATGTTTTTCTGCAAGGATAATATGCTGCAGTGCAGTACAACCAGGTATGTGGGGTTGTAGTGTTTTGTCTTCTCACCAGTACTGAGGAGGACTTTTGGAAGTGATGCAGCAGATTTTTTTGCACCAAGCTGAGTCGTTTCCCCCGGGCCTTTCTACGCAGGATGCTCTGCACCCGTGCTGATGGACGCTGCTTGGGTCGCAGTCGCATCCGGTGATTGTCAGGCTGCAGCCACTGATAACAGTACGGACACACCAAGGTGTTCTGCAACAGACGGGAGCATTTCTGCTTCGGTGGTGCTGAGAAGAGGGAAGAGACAAATTATATAAAACCTGTCAGCAAATATTCTGGTGCAGTCATGCATATTTCTTTTTCAACAAAAGAATACCCAGGTAGATTGAGAATGAGTTTGTTAATTGTTTTCCAACCCTTTATGTGAGCATATTAAGCAAAAACGCAAGGAAATATCTGTTTAAGACAGGCAGTTGAAAGATCAATGTCGGAAATCATCATTTTAGCAGCTGCATAGAGATTCTGTGCTAAAACTTCATTACGATGTCTCATCTTTCTATATCCACAGAAAAACAATCTGGATTGCAATATATTTGTCATTCCCAAACAACATTTTGCAAAATTCTGTTTATTCTCTCAACATCCAGACTTCATAAGTCACATTATCATTTCTTGCAACAAGCAATTAAGTTCTCCAAATGGACCAATGAACAAACGCCATGTTACTCTCTTTGGGACCAGTCCTGGTGTTATTTGGAGGAGAAAAGCCTGAACAGCCTTACTAAATAGCACCACTACCTATTGATGTGGTTTTAGCTGGCATGTGTCTGTGTGTGTTTACGATTGTGTGTGTGATCCCATCAGGCAGTCTGCCACAGACAGCTGGCTGACTCAGTGTGTTTGGCTAAGGGTTTAGTGAGGTTTATCAACCTTGACAAACCGGTGACAAGGTCCTACTTACTATTGCTCTACATGGCTATTACACTCCAGGGCATGATTGATGAAAACATGCCAAAATGAAGTTATAAATTAAAATGGAGTTTCTTTAAGGATGCACAGGTCTTTTAACTTACCGTTCACAGTGGCATTCATAGGCCTCTGCCTAGGGAAGAAAAAGAGGATACAAGATCAGACACTGGAGGAGAGATTTATATGTGAATGTGAAAGTAAGTGTAAGTGGGATTTAATCTTAAAAATTATTACATCTTCTCTTTAAAAGATAAAGTTTCTGGTTGGTTTGCTCTAAAATACTGGAGAAAATCATTTATAAATAATTCAACATGCCCATTTGTGTATTTTAAAATGCCCTTGTCAATTTGCAATAGAACAGCTCCTTTCACACTGGAACAATGTCATAAACAAGTTAAGAGCTTAAGAGTTAAGGGAATATTTGGACTAATTTTCTTCCACATAATTATCAGTTTAAATAATTTAGTGAAATAATCTTGGAGTTAAGAATTCTATTAAACATCCATGCAAATAGATCCATCAAGATATGGAAACACCAATTTGGAAAAAAAAAAAAAACAGAAAGCCCTTCCCATTTTGTGTATTGGAAAACATGCAACCGGAAAAGCAAATAGGTCTCTCCCAAACAATATAGGGCAACTCTCCAAGCCATTTCAAAGCCCCCCTCCTCCTGCTAGGCTGCCTCCAGTTTTGGAACTCTCGCAATCAGATATTTTTGCCAACATTTCAACTAAGCCACTGCTAAGTCCCCCTAAAATTAGCTGCAGGCTTAAATCAATGAAGGGAAATTTGCTGTCCGGCAGCACGTGTGGCAGGGACAGAGACAGGAACAGGGCTGGCTGTTTATGGAGAGGAGGGAGAGACTTAATCTGGAGTTGACCCGCTGGCTGCTGCGGTGGCGGCTGGCAGCAGACGTTTGTTGTCACTCTCCACTTGCACTCTCAATCACCCCGTATGTGAAATGGTGCATCACACTGCAGGTTGATGTTAGATGCAGCTCCACTCACTCATCCCACAGTCTGAGTCACTTTCCCTTGACCCCCCCCCCCCACAATTTAATAATCAGTGACTGGATTAAACTGTCATATTATATAGGAGCCCTGTCAGAAAATGCTGGAAATGAAGAGATGCTGAGCGAAGCTGGCGTGGTGGATTGTGACTCTGTAGAGGACTGATAATGACTCATGGATGTTGGGCAATTCCCCAGACACTTTTGCTTGTCATTCAGAAAGCCTTTTTCATTATTCTTAGCTGATAGAAAAGTCATCTTCAGAAAGTTTTGCAGGTTTTGAATACATTTCCTGAAGTGGCTGCTTCACTATTGATAATCAGTGCTCATTAGATCCACTTGACACCAGTGACGAATGTATTTTGACTAAATAAAACACATTTTTAATTTCCTGAAAGTACTAACAAAAGCAAACCCTCTGAAAAAGCTCCTGTTAAAAAAGCTATGAACAAACCGCTAAAGACTTGAATGTAAAGAAGCTGGATTCTTGAGAAAATTTGTTTTCCTGCGCCCTCCCTTCCTACTGCTCCCCTGATGAGCCAGCTCTCAGAAACTGTACACCGCAAAGACCTCTTCCACTAATCTTATTAACATACTTGTCATGCTTCTCCTTTTAAGTGCACACTTAGTTGTGGTGATGAACACAAGAATTTGGCTCTACACACGGACTGCTGACAACTGGGAGATGCTATCAAAAAGCCCCAGAAGATGCAAAAAGGGTGGGGGGTGGACATTATGACATAATGTGTTGGCTACAGAGTGATATTGTAATTAGAGACAGAAGTGCTGGCTGAGGCAAAACACACAAAATTAAGAGCATTTTACTGCTACCATCAGGGAAAACAGTGCGGCTGCTGGCAAATCCTGAAAAACCTTCACAGATGCTTGTAGACATTTAGACACAGTGGCCCGGCACAGACAGTGGTGTGGTCAGTCAATCAGTGAACACTGTAGATACTGTATCCCTCTAGAGCACAGATTGGCAGGGTCCCATTTATCAGTTGGATGTGACAGAGAAAGAGACCAGCAGGTGCCTCCAAGTCTGGGGCTCTGGGTGTATGGGTGAGGACGTCAGCGGGCTCCTGCTGAGAGAGGCCGTAAGATGAGATACAGTACGAGAGGAGGTGAGAGCCAGTGGTGGATGAATGGGGTGAGAGTAAAGTAGACTCAAAAAGGCGGTGATTGTGGAAGGAATGAAAAACATAGTGACTGATTTATAATAAAAAATAAATAAATAAATAAATTAAAAAAAAGTTAGTGACTGTCCTATTTATGAAATGGATGAAAAGAAGGGTTCAATTAAATCAAAGCACCTCCATCCACAGCTTTATGGCTGAAACAATTACTCAGAAAGACAAAATCAATTGGCAACTATTTTCATAAGTGATTAATCATTTTGTTCATTTTTCAAACAAAACGGCTTAACAATCACTGATTCCAGCTCCTCAAATATTATGATTTGAAGCATCTGTTTGAAATACATAACAGTAAATTGAATATCTTTCGCTGCTAGACTGTTACAAGTTATTTGTATACATTACCTTGGTCTCTGGGAAATTATAAGGAGCATTTTTCTGACATTTTACACAACCACACAACAATCAATTCATTAATTAACAAAATAACAGGCGGATTGTATCAGTCAGTTAAAGCCCTCCTCTGCTTTCATTAAATTCTTCCCAACACAGATATTCGCTAATTAATCAAAGTTCCAGTTAATGGCTAATGTTGGATAATCACTGATATCAGAAGAGAAAACATGTTGGCCGTGTATGAAGAAAAAACCTTGGGTACATAATGAACAAAAGCACTGGAGGCTATTTAAAAACCAACACATCATGACACTTTTTGTCCAGCAGACATCCTGCATACTTTGGTAATCAGAGCACTCAGTGAGGCTTTAGTTACTAGACACAGAACTATGATTACAAACTTACTGGAAAACAACTTCACTAGTCTGGCAATGTGAGCCACAATTAAGGGACATCAGCTCACACACAACAAGCGCACGCACGCACGCGCACGCACACAGACACAAACACAGACACAGACAGACAGACAGACACACAGACACACACACACACACACACACACACACACACGCACACACTGACCTGGCAGAGGGTGAAGACAGTGGCAGAAGGCAGTAACAAGATCTCCAACAAATATGTTTAGCAGTGTGTTTGAGTAATGACACGCACCCACGAAACAAACAAACACTCCAGTGATACATGAGCCAAAACCATAACTGGAGAAAGAGAGGACACTGGAAACCCCCAGAACACAGAGAGACCGCTGAGGTTCATTGGGACCAATAACATCATCAACACACACCAACCACGTATGCCAGCCATTTGAGTGGATGATGACAAAAACATTTTCATTTCCACTCAATTAACTCATTGACTGTGCATCCAAGACGTCTATCTGAAACATTAATTCTTAACAGTAATTTCCTTCCTAGTATGCTCTCCATATTATCTCCCTGGCTTAATTAGCTCATCACACTAAGTGTAAATTTTGGATGTGGCTGCTAATTGTGTCTTGTCTGCCAGGCACTTTGGCATGAAACCAATCAGGTCTTACAGCCAGTGTCCAAACATTTAGATTCGTGTCTTGCCTGTTGGACAGCTGCTCGTAGTTAAATGTGGTCAAAATGTTCTCTATAACCACAGCTCATCATAGCCAAAGAATCTGGGGAACAGATCAATGTACAGTCATGGTCGTAAGAACTATTTTAAACTGCCTAGCAATGAGTCCTGACCTAAATCCCATTGAAAATCTTTGGAGAGAGCTGAAATCTGCCACTGCAAAAATGACTCCTGCGAACTTAAGAGCTTGTACACATAGCAATGAGTGGAAAATACCAATATTTGGTGAAGCGCCCTCCACCAAATACCTGGTGAAGGGACCCAATAATTGTGTCCCCGGTATATTTTGTGTTTTGTATTATCATGTCACTGTTATACAAAGTTTTTTTTTCTTTTTTTTCAGTAACCCTGGACATGTTATTAAAATAATCTGGTTATACAAAATTGGTTAATTTGCATTTATTTCTGAAGATATTCATAATTATGTACTGGAAATTCAGGGGTGCCAATACTGTCAACCATGACTGTCTTAAAGGAGTAGTGGGCTCACGCATCCGTAAAATGACCCTGACTTGGGTTTCACTATAAAAACCTCTGGTTTTGTTTCCATTCATAGTTCTGCCCACAAATTTCCTGGCTCAGGTGAAAGAGAAAACAAGCTGGAGGATACAGGGACATGGCAGGAACCCAAATCAAACATGAGCCACCCACACACACACACACACACACACACACACACACACACACACACACACACACACACACACACACACAATTACACCTGTTAGATTCATTAATATCCACATGATAAAGAAATTTGAACACTCAAGTCTGTACACCTGTAACTGTGCATGGTCCACGTGCACGTACGCACGCACAGACACGCGCGCGCACACACACACACTCACTCTCTCTCTCTCTGACTAAGGCTTAAGTGGATTTTTTCTGAAATTACTTTTGGCTTTCACTTTCCACACAATAAGGCAATCACCACTGTGTGGGATATGCCATCAGAAGAAAATGGAATAGATTCCAATTTTGGCAGAAGCAACAAAACTGAAGCAGTGGACTGTAAATGATTAAATAAATTAGAAACTGGCATTAATTACTATTGTGTTATTCTAATAGGAATGAAAAGACTTGACTACAGGAGGCTAATTAGATAAAGACAGTTGGTGCGTTGGGAAAGATTTGGTGCTCTGTATGGGTCCTTTTACAACCATGAAAAGGATATAGGAGAAGAAAAGAGGCTTACAGACTACCTGGCTCTCAGTTTTGTTTTCTACATACTGCTCTAATTTTTATGCTTGTTAGGAAGGTACTGTAACTCCACCAATGAAATCTGCTTCACTCTGCAGCTGCATAAGACATGACATGACATGACAGTCAAGTCTGTTACAGTAGCACACACATGCTGCACAGACTTACCCACAACACCTACACAAGAGCAGCCACTGGACTTAAAACTGGCTCATGTCCAACTTCAATAACCCATTCAACAAAAATAGCAGCAAGATAAACGATGGCAGCCAATTCTCAAATACCAGATGATATTCAGCCCTTGGAACAGTGGTTCAATATTAGAATAACAATCACAGCAGAGCCCTACCACCAGAGTTTCCTGTTAGTCCTTTCAAACTGATTGACAGGTCTTTTGTAGTATTAGGCATCAATTAAATTTGTCATTGATGTTTTCTGATACTGTTTTAGGTCTATTAGCATCATTACTTGTTAACATGCCAGTAAAGCAGTTTAGTCATTTTTTAATTTCTAAATGAAACTCATAATTTTTATGTGTAAATAAATGAAATAACAAACTACTACCACTCTACTACCATGTCTGCTTAATTAATATTTTGTCAAAATTCGGTCAAGTTCCCTGTAGGTACAGGAGTAACAGACGGATCCTAAAGTGAAATCTTAAATCACACCAGTCATTATTTACCACTGACTTACTGTGGAAACATCTACAGAATATATTAGTATAGCATAATATTTTTTAAATAATATATTTTTTCGTTCGGGGTATTGGAAGTATCATGACACCACTCCGGAAGAAATTAATTTAAAAAATGTATAATGTTACTTCCTCCAACAGCCTTCAACAAAAATTTAATTTCCCGGACAGGAAGTAAGCTGTTAACACTGGTCGAGCTCTTCCCCCTAGCGTCTAGAAATCGCCATTACAACAATATAGGACAGAAAGTAAGCGCTACACCGTCAAACTGCAATTCATGAAGGATTTTAAACGAACTTTCTTACAGGAAGAACCGTGACAGCTCCGGACATGTTTCTTTATACAGCAGAGAAGCGTCTAACAGAAAGTTGGTAGATTTTCCGTCGGTAGTTGTCTTCATTTTCAAAGAGTGTCCTGCTACGACGTGTGAAACTCCGCTGTTCAAACCTCTTCTTCGTTTACGTGGTCAGCAAATTGGAAACAAATGATAAAACAGCGTCCACACGCACGACTGGAGCTGTTAAAGAGCGACTAAAGAGTGTGGAAATGTGTTATTTTGGTATAGATAAAACTAACGTTACCGCTAGGTTGCTACACGACAGAAATCCACGTTGGGTCGCGAGATTCTGACGCTTCTTGTGGTGCATTGTGGGAAAGGGAGTCAATCAAAAGCACTGCGGAACAAATGCTCGGTTTGGTTACCTGTGTTAGCTGATTTATGCATTACTGCTAAGTGGTCAGTCCTGAAAAAACAGACAAAAATTCAATTAAATAACTACATTGATATAAAAAAAAAACAGAGTAAACGTAAGAGTACATTATGAGTCTGAATTAAAATGAACTTTTAAAGGCTTGTTTAGGGATCAGATGATCTATCATGAATTAGGTTACATCCACAGTGTGTCCACAGTCATGTTACTATGTTACCTGCAGTCAAAGTTAAATCCTTAAACACAAACTAATGGCTCTTTTTCTGAGATATCCAACGATGACAAGTTATTAAATTAGCGCAAGTGCAGTCAACCAAGCTCGACTGAATAGATACTCTTTGATGTCGTCATTCCTCAGATCTTATTGGACAGTTAGGATTACCAATGTTAGACGGCAGTGGGGTATATTGACATCATTATTGCTGTATCCTGCGCATATCAGAGCACTAAAAAAAACAGGTTTCTTGAGCTCCAAAAACACATAGGCTACATTAACCAATGCCATCCGACAAAGATCCAGGGTATCGTTTGAGTCTGTAAAACTCCTGCTGTATCCAGAGAAATTAATGCATCGGATCTGAAAGGGAATTCTGTTGGGAGAAAGAGAGCCACAATGTGAAATTGGATATTTTAAAGCAGCAGCGGCAGCAAGGAGGTAGAAGAGCCTTCTGAGTGCGCACGGATGGGTACCCTCTGGTGTGCGGATATCAAAAGAAGCAGCCCGGTCAGACACAAGCCCGGTGGAGCAGAGACGTGAAGTGACAATAAGAAGTTACAAAGAGATTCTGTTCGACACCAGAGGGAATTTCATTCAGCACCAGCATTAACAAAGCTCCTGCTCTGTTCGTATCAGAGTGTCTAAGGGCTGATCCTCGGACCGGCGCGTTTTACGCACATCTTTACCCGGAATATTTCATCCTGCCTAACAGTAGGTTTTCACGTTTTCATTCATGGCAAATACTGCAATTTTAGTCAGAGGCAAACAATTTAGCAATGTTATAGGCTATTATTTATTTATCATGCTCCCATGTGAACCTGAGTTAGAAATAAGCTCTAATCATATCTTTTCAATTAATAACTAATCATTTTCATCCATTTGCAATTTTGGCATAGACTACTTAAGTACAATATGGAGTAGGGCATATAGGGCATTGGAATTAGGCTATACAATACAAACAATAGCTTGAGAGATAATTATTATTTCATGCTTATTTATACCCTACTGTTTGTATCCATTATGGTTTAGCAACAATGAATGCTTTTCTATAGGCGAACATTTTCCTGCTGTGAAGTCTGAAGTCTTCTACAGTGTTGGTCTTTACAGGTCACATTTGTGTCTTTGCAATGCGTGTGCGCGTCCGTGTCCCTTTATGGAGGGAAGGAGTGGATGTGGTGGTGGGGGGTGGGGGGGGTGCCACCAGACACCGAAGAGATATTAAATCACCGGGCCAGTGTAGAGCGTACAGAAACTGATGGAGTAAGCTAAAGTGTGAGGGATTGCTCCTCACTTTGTCCGCGAGTAAATCTTCACTTTATCAGGCGCTGTCAGGCAGGCGCCTCCACACGAGACTGAAATAGCCGAGCGGTGCAGCTCCGCGTTAAGTGTAGTCTGCGGATAAACGGATTTTCCCTTTACTACCAGGACTAAATTGACTCGCGATTCAGAGGGAGAGTTAGTCAGACGGAGAGACAGCCTGACAGGCGGGCAGGCAGAGAGGCTGATGATGGTGCTCTAAGCGCGACCAGATCCTCATCCCGTCTTTCCTACCGTGCAGCTGAAATGAGAAGGACCAGGACTGTGATAGAAAGGTAGGTAGACTGAATGCTCTTTTTTTCAATGATTCTGAGGTCTTTCTAAAATAATTTGCTATAAATGAATGTTGTCGCTGTGATGAACCAAAAAAAAAAAAAATCCAGTCTCAATGATCAAAGACTTGTAGAAAAAGCTACTTTTCTACTGATCTGCACAATTATAAAATAACCTTATTTTCCTGCAGGGTACATGAAAAGCTGAAGCCTGTGGAGATCAGTCACCTAACTATCAGGCAGTATTGTAGTGTTAGTAAATCTTTGAAGCCTGCCTTGAAGTGTGAAGAAAATTAAATTCCATACATAACATTAGAAATTCCACTGATGCTTTGCAGGTTTTAAGTTCACAGTTGTTCATGTTTTCAGAGTCAGTTTTACCAGTGGGAATTTAAACTCTAAAACTGTCTGAAGAGTGCGGTGCTCTGCTGACTCATAGATGATGGAACCTGCAGCCCTGTAATGCACCTCTCACTGAGCCACACAGGACCACACCTGTCTCCACTGTGCTGTGGTAAGACAGGTCCAGTGCTAGCAGGACTCTTCTTTCACCTTTGCAGGACCTCACAGGGGAGAAGAGACATCCCAGAGTGTCCTGTCAGCATCTGCAGGGAAAAGCCAATCCGTGCAACCACTGAGCCAGCTATCACTTCTGAAATGCAACACCAACTCCAATAATGCTGAGAAAGCTCAGGAGAAAAAGCACAATGTGCTGTAATGCTGTGTGTGTGCGTGTGTGCGTGTGTGTGTGTGTGTGTGTGTGCTTAAGTGCATGCATGTGTGTGATTGCAGTCACTTTGTGTCTGTTGTACATCTTTGTGACGACCTCTCGCTGCTGTGGAGCTATAACAACTCGAGGGTCCACTTCAGTCAGTTTTCTCAGTGATGTTAACCGCAGATAAGCATTCGTCTGTGGCTGTTATCTCAGGTCATCCTCCTGCAGAGCTCCCTGACTTTACACATCTCCAACAGGAGCATTGCTGAGTTTTAACAGTATATTCTGTAATGAGAGTAATTATCCACTTGAATTAATAATTAATACAGTATAAGGTCACTCTCAGTGAGTCAGGTTTTATGCTGATAACGGGCTGCATTTGTTTTCAGTCTGTTGTGCATAAACATCCTGATAATGCAGTCTTGCTAATCCTGAGCTTATTTACAACTTTTTAACAGCCAGTACTTCTGTCTTTCCTCCTGTATCAGTACAAACATACTTGTGCATGTGTGTGCATGTTTGACCAGACCTCTGTTTCTCAGTCGTTTCTTGTGGAGCATTTCTCTTTTTTATGCATCATTCAGAGAGTAAGTACTCTTAGAGCACGCCCGAGCTTGTGATGCATTTATCACAGTCACTCTTCGAATCATGGCGTGGATGAATAGTCTGGTACAGGAGCACAGAGTAAGTGAAGACCAACCAAGGTCACAGCATCACATGCTCAAAAAGAATTTTGTCTGTGTGCAGGTTGGAAGTTGCTTTGACTTCTCTGGGAATTATCACAGACTCCCAGAGACAATACTTCAAGGGCAACAACTTGCACGTTCTACTTCATTAAAATCAGTAGTCTGATGGCTTTGAAATGCTGTTTTGCAAAACTACCCTGTGAGATAAATATAATTGTATACTCAATATCTGAAGTGATTACACACTCCACGGAGGTTATTTGTGAAGAGGGCTGAATCACTCATCAGTTACTGGAAGCTGGACATGTAGAAGCCAAAAGACTTCTTCTCTTGCGCTATTTTCAACAACGCCGTCCCCCATGTCCTATACTTCCTGATGGAGAAACATGTGAAAACTTAAAAGGAGGTGATCTGGTTTTATGACCTTGTTACATATTCTTCCTTTTACATAGTTTTTTTTAAACAATGCCCCGGAGCAAAATTCTTTATAGATCTCAGTATTGAAGTCCTTTTTTAGGCAATGAGAGCATGTGGGTTTTTGTGTCTCTGAACAAGGCAGAGTGCGTGCGTGTGTGCATACATGTGCACATTTGTATGTGGATGTATGTATATGCGTGCGCTTGGGAAGCAGAACCGTGCATAATCAGGTTGAGCAGAACAAAGATGTTAAGTCTACAAACAGGGTTTGTTTGGATCAGGACGATCCCGGCATCCAGAACCCTAGAGAACAGTGGCTCATTCACAAGATACCAAGGGAGAGGACCCAGTGGAGGGACCAGCTAAGGTCTCTGTAAAAGCTTGAGTATCCCTGGAGAATAACAAGGAGAGGAATAGTGGGGAAAAGTAGAGCCTACTTCCATTATACGCTCTTCATTATAAAATGATTGAGGGTTAGTGTTTAAAGACATGCCCTGAGAGGCAATGAGACTTCATAGTTGTGCCTAACTTTCACAGTAAAGTAAATATTAGTAAGCCTCTTAGTTTGGAATAAGAATGTGCCACTGCTGTGCATCACAGATATCAAACAGGTAACCTTGGGTTTACCTAAATGTCTTGTCTATGGTATAATTAATCCAGTGGTTACATTTAACATCATTGTTAAAAGTTGTCGGTTGGATGACAAGGCTTTAAAAGTTTTGAGTCAAATCTAAGACCGTGGTGTAAAATCGAGGTGCTGTGGAGTGGTGTAGAAATGATGGTGCCTGTTTGTTTGTTACCACCCTGCGGCCTAGATTAAAATGAGTGGGCACACAGCCTAACACCCAAAGTGGCTGCCAGACAAAACTTTCCTTTCTCTCTTAAGTCAAATGCCAGACTGCTGACTGTTGCAGAGCCAGTCGGCAGCCTCAAAGACCTCAGACACATTTAATGTACATGCATACAAACACATGCATGTGAATGCACACAAGTTTTATACTGTCGTCACTGTTACATTATGGATGCACCCAGTGATGCCGTTTGCCTGATGTGATAATGAAAAGCCTGAATAATTAGTATGAGTACTTTGACTAGACTGTCTCATTATAAACAAGTTAATCCAGCAATGTTACTAGTGAACATAAACTACAGATGATGTAGGGGCAAGACAGGAGCACAGACATTATGTAAATATGGGTATCTTGTATGCTGATTTCTTGTCGTATCCTCATACTGTTTCCTCATGAATGCAAGAATCATAATAATGCAGTTTTCAAACCACGGTTCCTCTCCTCATGGTTTGCTGGCAGACTAAAATTCTGCCTCCATATCACAGACTAATCAGAGGAGCCACACCACTGTTACAGCCGGCACAATGCACCATTGTTAAGCTGGCTATTGTGTACTGTGTTGTGTCTTTGAATAGGGGGAGGATCTTTTCAAATGATAAGGTTTTGGTAAAGGGATGCACGGCACGTATCCATTTCACTCTGTGTGATCATTGTCCTGATTATGGAGAATAAGTGGGACTTATTACTCAACATCAATACTTCAATTACAAGTCCCATTAATTGCACACTGCGTCTGCGGCATTTTTATCTGGCAAAGTCATTTCGGCTCTGTCAAAGCCCATTGTTGCTGCGGTAATGAAAGGCAATTCACGTAAACGATTAAATGTAAAATCTGGGTGGCCTCTTTCTCACCACGGCCAAGTTGCCTTGAGCAGTTTCCAGTAGTATGCCATCCATTATTAGCCAATGTTTCCGTCCTAACGTCTTATATGAAGGCAGGGATGCACTGTGACTTCGATTACAAAAGGAGCCAACACCTGCTAATGCCTGACGCTCTTGATGTAGGAGATCAGATATTCCTGACAGCATACTTCAAAAGGATCATTCACAAGTCTTAGGAGTCTTTTTCTCTCCCCCCCTGATAAAATGTCTGTGCAATCCTATCCGGCATCGTTACCTTCACTCTGACCCAAAATCCATTCAAAATCTCAGCAGTTTTTTTTTTTTTTTTTCAGAAATATGCGTTCTCTTTCACTTGTTTTTAAAATCCAGAATAGAAAGTTAGGGTTAAATGAACCGAATTTTGCCCCTGGCTCTCCTTTACTTTCTTATTTGCTTGCCTCGTCCTTCAGCTCCTTTCATCTGTCCTCTGAGTTCATATCCCTCTGGTCTCAAAATCTAGGTTGGACCCATTTTCATACAAAGAACTAGGCGAGGCAGAGGTACTCATGTAATTGCCTAACGGTGCTGCATCACAAAAGCAGAAGTCTGGTTTAACCAGTGAGGCTGATGTAAGTATCTTTGAGAGGACTTGGAGACTGGAGAACAAACCTGACAGGAATACACCACAACAGAAATTTGGGCTAAATGTCACAGAAAAAAGGGCTGTTGATTATTTTCGGTGTTTTGCCTGTTGATGTTCCTTGTGCAGATATGAGGACATGTCTGTGAAACCATGACATTTTCAGACCTTTGTTTGTGATACACGCAGCTTAGAGTTCACTCAGCTATGACCTTTTGATGCCTGTTACATGGCAGACTCCCCGAGAGAGACGAGTAGGAAACGGGAGAGAATAACAGAGGCTTGGGGGTGATTTGGGAATTGATTGCATGCCCTCTACCTCTTTGATGACAAACTGCTTCCCCATGAGACCAATAGACAGCATAAACACTGGTTCGCTTGCACACATTTCTAACTTTTAGACCCAGATCACCCCAACAGATCTTAATTCTTTTCAACATGCAATGCACAGCTATGATAATGATTACATTTATTCTCAATGACATGCTCCAATTCCGCCACAGGGCTTTTATACAAGGACACTGCAGACAGATCTTTTTCTGTGGACCCGTGGCACTAGTAGTCATTAACCTTCTAGTCAGGCAATTTGGGCCAGAGGAGTGTTTTTCTCTGGATGTGGAGCAGGGTGGATATGAGATGTAGCTGGGAAAGCCAACCCCCTCTTCGCAAGGTGAAAAAGGCTATTTTCATTGGCCAGGTGATGAATGTGGTGTCTGTGGAGGTGCGTCGCCCTTTTGGCGCTCTCTTTCTCACCCTCATTCATTCTCCATTAGTATTTTCCTTCATTCTGTTTCTCTTCTCGTTCATTTTCCTCCCTGCTCGCCATCTCATTCTCTGGTCCCACCACTCTCTGTCACTCTCTTCCTCTCATTTTCTCCCATCTGCTCCCTCTGTCTCTCACACAGAATCTATTGTAATTGACTTTATCTCTTTTTCCCCCCCCCCCCCCTCATTTCCTTCCTCTCTGTCTTCCTGTCTTCCTCTTCACAGTGGATCAGCTGTTGCCGGCCTGAGCTGAAGGTGACCTGTTGGCTGGGCCAAGGGCTGCAACACAGGACATGGGTCCTGCTTCCCCTCCCCGCTCGTGTCTTGTGTTGCAGCCAGTGGAGCTGCCTGTCTGCCTCTCTGACGGTCTGTCAGCCCACTGCTGATGGACTGAGCTCCCATAACAGATGGATCCTACCAACCATGGACCTGCTGACCCTGCTCCTCACTTTACAACAAAACTGTGCTGTATCACTGTCATTTTCACTGTAGTTTTCAACATCAATATATTGTCCTCTCTCACAGTTTAAAGGAAATAAAATACTTTAAAGGAAAATGTTACTCCTGTTGTATTTGTGATGATAAGTGGGATTCAAGGATTTTTTGTTTTGGTATATAATGAGTATACGTAATGTCCTCAGTTCAGATTCAGTACTTGTTTCAGCTCATGTCTTATCAAGCATACAGCTGCAGCCCTCAGAGAACACCTTCCTGATGACATTTGCTCTCTGACATTTAAAGCAAAGTTAGCACCATCACAGATTATTATTCTTTAGAAACCATAAACACAAGGCAAGCCAAATAGGTTTTTAATGAGGCTTGTCTTGCATCAAATGAAGCAGCACCTATGACTTTCCCAGGGACCAAACATCATTGTGAAGCTATAGCTCCTGACAAGGTCAACAGTGATGTACCTCTGGGCGAGGCAGGCAGGTGCTGGGGAGGCACGCACTGGCTGTCCAAGCCCATTTTAATGCTTCCTTATCTTCCCCCCAGGTTGCAAACGAACAGCATAAAGGAAGAGGTCAGCAGAGAGAGATGCAGAGGGGGTGAAGAAAAGGACACAGACGCAGTACAGTGCTTCCTTCTACCAGATGTGACCGTTTACTTTGCATAGTCACTCCAAGAACTCAGACTTGGTCAGAAATCACTGCATGTATGGGGGAGACCAAAGGGAGGACAGTGGGGTGAGGAAAAGTGGCTGTGTGTTTGTGCACATCAGGTGTGCTTGTTTTGTATTTGTGGTTGGATCTCTGCAATAATGGAGTGTGTGTGAATGTGTGTGTGTGTGCTTTAGAGTAGAGAAAATGAAGCCATTTTCAGACAGGGGTGTCACTTGATCCGGGTGCGGATGCTTGCTGTTTTCAATCTCCCCCTACCCGGACTGTTTACCAGAGGGATTGAAAGGAGGCTGTGTGCTGAATGCTGTGTGAGCTGATATTGGCTGACTGTGTTTACCCTGTGTTGGTGCAGATGTCTCAGAAGCAATATTATTTATTTACCATTATGCAGCCCCGACATGCCGCCTGGAATGTTCCCTGACCTGATGTTAAGATATGCTTAAAGTGAAATAACTCTGAAACAGCATGTTATCGGTGGTGTTTATCTTTTTGTGGCCTCTGCAAGCTTAAGTATAACCACTTCAGGGTAACTTTTTTTCAGTTCAAAGTTTCCTCTGCCACTTGGTTTGGATGTTTACAGGCATTTTTAGAATGCAAAGAATTTCAGTGGTATGTTTTTGGTTTGAAGACTAAAGTAAGTGAATACTTTCTCAACTTACTTACTTTATCAACATTTTGGAAAATACTTTTTTTTTTCAATTTCTTACCTATAGTTAGATAAGAAGACTGGTACCACTCTCTTTGTCAATGTGGGAAATATGGAGCTGCAACCAGGAGCATATTAGCATAGCTAGCATAAAACCCAGAAACAGCTAGCCTAGCTCTATCCAAAGGTAACAAAATCCATCTACCAGCACCTATAAAGCTCACTAATTAACACATTATATCTAATTTGTTCAAGTGTGAAAACAGTATAAAAACAGCAATCTTTGTTGAATTTGTGAGGGGTCATGGGCTGGACTATTTCTTGGTTTCTTGTTACCTTTGGACAGAGCCAGGCTACCTCTTTAAGTCTTTACGCTAACCAGCGTTTGGCACTAGCTAATAGCATAGAGATGACAGTAATTTCTGTTGTCTTAGATTGTACAAATGAGAAATAATGTGTTAATTCATGATTTTTAGAGATGCTGGTAGGCAGATAATGTTACCTTTGGATAGGGCCTGGGCAGCTGTTTTCCCAGTTTCCAGTCTTAGCTAAGCCAACCAGGTGTTGCCACTAGCTTCTAATTCCATAGACATGAAAGGTATCCATCTTCTCATGTAACTAAAAAAATTTTGAATTATTCTTTCAATGAAATGATAATACAGTGACCCTCACCCTGCTGTCCATAAAGACACAATTTATACCTTAAATCCCTTGCTAACAAAAGGCCGACCTTTTAAAGCACTTAATGAGCCAAATGAAACATCTTACACCCAGAGAAGTGAGCAGGACACTCTGAGGCCCAACAGATTGCTGGGTCTTAACAAAGATTTGCTGTGCCGCATATTTTTCCACACCAGTGCACTTTGTGTCTGCAATCAGCAGTTACAGATTGAGGGAAAGAGAGCTATCCCCCTTGCTGCTGCGGTTTAAACTTCCCCTAACACCCCGTATGAAAACGCTACAGCAAGAATATCAAGTCAAGGAATTTATTCAATTCCCGGTGAGGGAGATGAAGGGAGAGACTGAAGGCAGGTTCAGGAGTGGGGGCGATGAGCCAAGAGCAAAGTCCTCTTGTTACAGGTGTCTTGTTGATTGGATATGGGTGCATCGCACAACATGGCAGGCACCCTGGGCTGAATGTCAGGACACTAGGTTAAAAGACTGAAGTTTGTTTGATGATGACATGTGGTGAAATGTAGTCAGTGTTGTGCTCTGAATAAGAGGAAATAAAATCAGAGAGGGAGTGATAATATGAGAAAGAGAGATATATCACATCTCACAGTTATGGGTTCAACAGCATTTCCAGGCTAATCAACTATTATTTATGTGCAGTCATTCGTGCTGAAGAGCAGGTATTGACAAAGGGATGAGTGATGATATGGTTGGATGCTCATAGTCGATTACAGCACATTAAATGTACTCAAAGACAAAGAGTGGACACCAAGGCCTCATAAAGTCAGGCTCACTCACTGTGATAAAGGATTGCCAATATACATCAGACTCATTTATGAGATGGAGTATGTGGCAGCGTAATCAATTCCTCAGTCTATTCCAGTGACTGTCCAGCCATTCATACTCATAAGGTCGTAATATATTTAGTTTTTTGATGCCTATTACAAAAGGCAGAATGACCGAAAGAGGAGAGGCTATGGGCACTAAGAGGAGAGATAACTTGCTGAAGAAAGGGGAAGAGTGTGTGTGAGAGAGGTTCTTCTCCATTAATTACACTGTAACTCTGCCATTACTTTGCAAAAAGTGACGAACCCACAGTACCTGACTCCATCCAAGGACCCTGAGCTTTTAGAACTGGCTCAATATACCAGCGCTCCAGGGGGAAATGACAGAGTAAGGCTCTTTTTGAGCAACTTTACAATGATAAGAGGCCCTAAAGAGAGACCGGAGAGGAGAGAGAGTAAAAGAGACGGAAGTAGAAGCGAACTATTAAAGCGGGGGAGTTGGAGATGGTAGAAGAGGGATGAAGAGATTGGCAGCTGGGAGCGATAATGACAGACTAGCAGAAAGGAGAAAGTAAAGGGAAGAAAAGAGAATGGCAAAACAGAGATAGAGAGTGGCGAGGAGGGAAGGCAGCAGCCTTAGATAAGTAGTGAAAGGGACCAAGCATAGAGAGGCAGAGGATAGCGAGGGAGAGAGTAAAGAGAGTGGGGAACAGAATGACTGGGGGTGATTTATTAAACCTGAGCCAGGCGGCACTGCAGAGACAGCTGCCACTTTTCACTTTTATTTCAGACAAGGCTAGTGACATTGACACATCAGTCAATAGAAACAAAAACTTTGCCCAAGTGTTCGGTGAAAAAGTTCTGAACTGTGTTTGATAATCTGGCGGTGGAGGTCACTGACCTTGTAGCTGCCCAGGAGACACTAAGACATGAAAATATTCTTGAATTATGCCAGTGGTGTGGAGTGGTCTGTCAATAGTTAGACAAAAAATTGTCGTCATGCACTGTTTCTGTTTTTTTTGCTCTCCCTATTTTCGTGTAGGTTGTCTATGCGACTCTGTTTACCCATTGCAGGCAAAACACAGACAAAAAAACCCCTGTGCGTGCAAGGATACACTCCCATTCGCTCTGAAATGGAAAAAGCTGTTTGAGAGAAAGAATGAATAAAAGACATTTTCACCCTCTGCAGAGTCAGCACACAAAACAATCATTACCAGCAGTACAATGAGTGCCTTCTTCAGTTGTGTGGTACCGATCTTTCCACCGTAATGGGGACATTCAAAATAAAACATAATAGAAACAGATTCTATGGCAAGTTGATGAGAGTTATAAACACTGTTACATATGTAGGTAATATGAGGTTGAATGCAAGCAGCTTGCCAGCTTTGAAAGTACTCAAAACACTTTGATGTGAGTTTTCAAAGCAATAACTTGCTCTGAAGGAAGAAAATCATCAGTTTCAGGTGGATTAATATGCAAAGACGAACAGTCTTGGAAAGCATGACTACTTATGCCAAACACAAACTGAATTTCCAATTTGGCTGTGTTATAGGGGAGTTAACAAATTCTAACTGACATGCAACCTTATATGATCGACCTTCATCCATCAGTGTGATGGGGATTTGATTTCTTCAAATTTAAAGCCCTTTCTACGCAATTTTATCCACCTTATGCACATATTGTGCCTGTATGTCCAATATGGTTGTATGTGCACATCTGCACGCGTGTGTGTGTGTGTGTGTGTGGTTGTGTGTGTGTGTGACCTCACTGCCGTGAACACCCTTGAAAGGTTCACTGAGTTGATGGACAGATTCAGATCACAGATTTCCTGTATACTTGCCGAGCCGTGTCGCAGGAACAGGCAGGCAGACGTTTCGTGATGCCCCTGAAAGCACTTGTAACCTGCTGGAGTGTGACTTTGATAAAGCAAATGTCAACATATGCTAAGCCTTCCATGATTTCTGTCTCAGCCCTGTTTTATTGGCCTCCTGCCGTACTCCACCCACCCACCAGATGTCCCCGGACTTTCTTCCTGTTTCCAGATGCACCTGCTCACCTGTCACCATTTCCAATCCCTGGAACTTCTCCACCCACCTACACACCTGTCCCACACCTGTTTCCCTCATCTGCTCCCTGATATTTATAGCAGCCCTTCACCCCCAGTCAGTTGCCAGATGATGATACTAATGTCTCTGTTTCCCTTTGTGCTACTCATGTTACTTGTATGTAGTTACCTGTTGTCTGTACCTGTGCCTGCTCGCCCATTTGTCTGCCTGTAAGCCTGGTCCTCATCACTATATCTATTAAAGTTCCATCATTGCACCAGTCTGCT